ATGGAGAAGTGTACAGGTTCATAAAACTACTAAGATAAGATCAAGCAGAAAAATCAATTACACAGAACTGAAGTAATAATAGAGATTGATAGTAATTATGATTATAATTTTGGAATATTATGATTCCTTAATGTTTTATTTAATGAACTTTCTCCTTTTTCAAGCTAGCTGTAACTCCTGACAAGTGGATTTTGCTTTTGTCTAAAAAATGAAATATTCAACTTCCTAACGACTTCTTCAAAATTCAGGAACTCTGATTGAATGTTTTTATTTTCAAGCTAATCCAATTATTTGCCAAAATTCAGTAAGAATCTGTTGTCCTTGTAACAGCGCATAACTAGAAAAATGGTTTACAATCCAGGCTTTCACTGGAATGTCATATTTGAGACTGATTCATTGAATCACATATGTCCAGGCATATTTAAGCTACTAAGGTTGATTTTATAAGGCCAAAGTTTATAAAAACTCAGAAAAACTGGCTTGGTATCTTGCTTCTAGAGGTCCCAGTCTTCTATGAGTAAGCAAGGTCAATTCCAGCAGGAAATTTAGGATATTTGGGAACTTCCAGAAGAGAAGAATCTAACCAGATCTACAGTTACAAGAAAAATCTGGTAGATTTTTGGCCTGGCTTTCAACCCTTAACAGACTACTAAAAAACTAATCTGAGATTCCTTATGAAAAATCTTGTTCAACAAACCCCCAAAATGCCTAAGTAGTTAGTTATCATTCCTGTTTCAATTATGTAAATTACTAGGCCAAGTTGAATGAGACCAATGTTATTTTGTATACAACAATAAAGAATGAGGTGAGTGTAGAGAGAAATTTTGTTTCATTGGAAAACTATAATGAAACTTTGTGAATTATTTCTAATCACTTTAAGGCTTTTAAAATCTGTCTGTAAATTAGATCTTACAATTTTACACATTTTGTCAGTTCTTCTAGTTTCTTCCAGTAGCTGGCTATAATTCTTCCTGTAACATTTTCATTTTTTTGCCTACTTTCCTAACTTGGCAATTATTGAGAACTAAGACCTTCCTTTGTCCCTTGTGTCTTTGGAAGCAGAAGCAACATAACCTGATATAAATCATTGTACCCTTCATGTTTTGCGCAACCTGCAAGACTACTTCTTTTTGAGCCACTTGGACAATTTACTAGAACACAGAATATTAATACCAAGGATACTTACACTGCAAAAAATGTTTAGAGCCTGTTATCTGGAAATCTTCTTCATTAGCTTGTCTCTGAACTTAGAAACTAGTTTTATAGTCTGTTCCAACCACTAATCTTTGTTTTTCTTTTTTCATCGAAATTCTCATCGTTAATGCCTGGCATCTATTATCAAGCAGATAATCTCTTCTACCAAGTTATAACACATAAATAAACTGCTATATGATGAACAAAAGGCAACCAAATAAGAAATAGACATATTCAAAGAAAAGTATATCTATTCTTTCTGTGCGGAAGAGAGAGTAACAAAGACTGTCTTTTTAACTAAACTTTATTCAGGTTCCCTAAGCGCTTTCTTGTCTAGATCTGCATTGCCCAGTTTTAGCAAGAATGTAGCTAAATCAGTTTAGAGAGGTCCTTTACCTTTAGTATCTGACATCTTTCTAGATCTGATCAAACTCCTCATTCCCTACCTTCATTCAGGCAATATATGATCACCTGGCCTGACTTTAGGAAGAATCTTATTAAGGCTGTTTAACCAGAATCTCCTTTATCCTTTATGTTTCCTTTTAGCAATCTTTCTTCCACTGACCCTCATTCTGCTTCTTGTCTATAAATCCCCAGTTATTCTTGTTGTATTCTGAATTGAGATCAGTTATATACTGAATTCTTTTTTTCTACATTGTGACTATTCTAAATAAATCTATTTTACTCCCTCAGCTATTGTCTAGTTCTGGTTTTCTTTGATAATAATATACAATTTGGAAGAGCAATTACTATCGTTTGTGTACACTGACAGACATTTCAGCTGCATTTAAATAAAGCAGTGATACAAAATTTGAATCAATGCTTTGTGTATACCTAGAATGTGCCTGAGGGATAAATACCTGAGGACTTTTTGTCCTGAAAACCAGGATGTGGGAAAAAATTTATTGAGATCAGTGCTGATAGAATACAGTTGTGTTACAAGGAAGGTACTGTATATTTCTATGCAAATAAGAGGTGATTTCTAAATTGCAGTTTACCTTGTAGTCATAGATAACAATTGGTAGCTAAAAATACTGTATGCCTTTTAGTTTTGATTTGTTATTGAAAAATTCTGATAATTATTAATACTATCAAATACAGCCTTAATTATTATATGCTTCTTTGGCATGCCATTTGAGAAATTGAGCTGTTGTATGCCTGGCTACTGAGACAGAAAATATTCATGTGCATTTTTAAAATAGATGAAAATATTTTATCATAATGCTGATACTTCTCATAAGGATCTTTTTAATTGACTTACTTGAATGATATGTGACAACATTTTATTCAGTATGTGGAATTGCTTGATTCTTCACTTTAGGCTCAAAATACCCATCTAAAAAATTTGCAGATGAGAAATTAGGATTTCTTTTTTTAAAAAATGAACTGTTGGATAATGGCTTATACTCTGATGTTTTCCAATATGTTTCCTGTAATTACTTGTGTTGAAAGAAACATGAATTATTGTCATTTATGTTTAAGTATCATAGCACTACACATGTGGCATTACATATATGATAGTTCATTAAAAATATAAACACTTTTTGGTACTAAAAGCAGTTAGAGAATAGCTAAGAAATCTATTTACTCTGTCTTCCAAATAGTCAAATTTTTTGCTTTTATTTGTGAAAGGTTTGCCAGTTTAACTCATGGTAGCATTCTGAAACTCATACTCAATGAGAAGTCTTCAATAATTCCTAGGTTTACAATGACTTAAATATCCAGAATTGTCTGGAAAAGACACCAAATATTTATTTTCATTGAAAAATCATTAACTGGAAATTGGAACTTTCTTTTTTATTGTATTTTTTCTTTTATTGAGTTTATTGGTAGATTTTAGGTATACAGTACAGTTACATTCATTATTGGGATCTTGTAGCTTTACATGACAGGTGGTCTTGGTTCTCATTTTTCCCCTTACCCCCACCCTCCCTTCACCCCCTCCTCCCCTTCCCATTTACAAACACTTTATTTCCATTTTTTAATTTTCTTATATTTTTTCCCTTATTACCTTTCCCCTACTCTTCCCACTTTCCCTACACCTTTAGCCCATTTCTTCCCATTTCACAATGTCAGTTATCTCATTAGGACCTTATGTACTATTACAGTTTATTCACACCAGAGAAACTATTTGGTATTTACACATGTGTGACTTATTTATTTCACTTAAGAGTATATATTCAATATGCATCCATTTTCCTATGAATGAATCTAATTTCTCATTATTTATTGGAGCTTTCTAATTTGGTTAAAGTCATATGAATAGGAATCACTTGAATGTGGAAAACCTTGTTCTGTTTCAGAGGCTGTTACTGGGCCAAACATTGACAGTTTGCTAAGAGAATAAAGTATGACCTATATAGATAACAATGAATCATAAGTATATTAACTTTTTATTGTAAACAACATTTTATTCCAAATAAATTATTCCAAAAATTTTATGTATTGTGTTTGATGTATACTGAATATAGATGCTGAAATAATACTTGTCACCTTTGTGAAAAATAAAAAGTGTTTTAGATAGCTTAGAGTGAGGCAAACATTATTCTAAATGTAATGAGCTCATGTTAACTGCAAAGGCATCACTATTTTGTACACTGAAATATGGAGAGAATACATTACTTACTTATACTCTGTTGTTTAATCTGTTAATTGGCAGAACTAGGGTTTGGACAGTCAGTGTGGGAGTGGTCTGGTCTTTACCACCACTGAGTTGGTCAACTCAGCTACAGGTATTTTGTTTGTTGAAGTCTCCCAAAGTCTTTCTCTATTCTTTTAACATACAATTTCTCCACAGAATTTTCTCTTCTTCCTTGTTATTACTACCACCAATGAATATTTTAATGAGAATCGTTGAAGGAGAGAAGTGGTTGCTAAGCAGGGAATTCTTTGTAGTTTGAAAGGAGAAATGAATTTAGTGGCCATAGGTTGTTTCCTTTCTCCTGGCCATTTTTTTTGGCTGCTGGGACCCAGAGACAATGTACTTGTCTTATGACCTATTACTTCTCCCAGATACCTAATACTGCATGTACATCTAAGAGTGTCTTTCAAAATGAATAGCATCTTCTCTCATGAAAGACTCATACCAATCACAGATACTTTTAAAACTTGAAGTTTATAAATCTGCTTTCCTAGAAGTCTGTTAAATGGTATTTTATGCAGAGCAATGTAATGTATTTTAAAACATTGATTTCATACATTTTAATAGTTTGTCTTAACATTGCTATTTATTAAAAATAAATGGCAATTCCTATTTATAGTATTACCCTAAAACATTTAAAAGTATATCAGGTTATTGAATGTAATGTTTGGCTGTGTGATGGATAGGGCTAGTTCTCTTTTTATCTAGTACTTCTCTCTATAGTAAAAGATTAATAAGAAAGTTTCAAACATTCAAATATTCTTGAAGTGTCTCATCCTAAGGGATAGCTTGTTACTTAGGTGTAGCAAAGAGCAGAGCTTAAATGTTTTTGTGCTCAAGTAATTATTTTTCTCAGAGATGGCTTTTAAATAATTGGAAAAGAAGCAAAAAAGGTCCTTTACTGTGAAAATTTAATTTGTTTTGCAGTTGCACATCTTTTTCTTATTTATCAATGTAGTGGTATATAATTTTATTTCAAAATGGATCTTTTCATAATATTAATACTAAATGTTGAATATCTTGCACAAGGTACTTATACACTTATTTCTGCTTGTCTTTTTTGTAACAGAGTGTGAACCATAGTGGCTGTTATAGTTGCTTTGATTAAAAAGCCAATTATATTAGTAATATTTAGTAATATTAATATCTGTCCCTTTCATTACAGAAGAAAATACTCAGGAACCATCACAAGTGAAGAAAAGTTTGAGTGAAAAAGTTTCTCTCTATAGAGGTGACATCACATTGCTAGAGGTAGATGCTATAGTCAACGCGGGTGAGTAGTTCGTTTTTCTGTTATGTATTTTGTTATGAGTTTTACTTCAATATATTTCATAACAGAAATATAATTTAGAAAACAATATAATTATTGGTATAAAATGTTTTATATATTTTTCTTTCTTGATTAAAAACATTGAGAATTTATTTTATATAGTTCTGTAAATAATGTGCTTCCTGGAGTGAAAACTACTGATTTGAGACTAGGGTACTACACCACTGCACAAATGATAAATTGTTGCAGAAATTTCTTTAGAAAGAACTTTAACATCTATATTATTGTTAATTTAATTTTTGAGTTTATAATTAGCCAAGATAAATATAAGTTTATAAAACTTTTTTGTGTTTTCAATAGATTGTGAGGAGATGGTTAAACTGAATAAGGTAAAAGTCAAATAAAAAGAAATTATTTCTTTGGTTTGGTCCAGTCCAGTTTTTAGGCATTAGTCATTCAGAATGGTAAAGGGTCACACAGTTCAGCCAATCATATATGAGACAATGAATAGGAATTTGGAGGGTTTGTATCTGGCTCTGTGAAAGGTTACAAAGTTATTGTCCATCTGTGAGTTTTATCTAAGTTATGAAGAAGTGTAGTTCTTTGCAATAACCCACAGGACAATTATAACTTCCTGTCATTATTTTCTAGGAATACAGGGTTCAGATGAAGTACAATATTACCTCATATTTTCCTGTAGTGATGAGTAAATTCACATATTGAGTACAAAATGCCTTGGTACCATGGGTAAACATGAAGGTATAGTGAAACCTGGAACATTGTTCAGCATATAACCTAGAGGAAGACTGAAAACTTAGCTTCTTCTTCCCCCAGAATTGGCAGTTAGTTAACTTTGTGTGTAGCTGCTTTGCCATAATCAGGGTTCAGTTTTTCTCTTTCTCTTCTGATGCCTTTATACTTCCTCTTTCTTTTGCTTCTCTAACATGTAAAATTCTTTTTGAGAGGGAAGCCTGTGTCATTTAATCTTCACTTAACATGGCTCATATTTGCATAGAATTTTATCCTTAGGTCAACTTATAGGTGCTACAGTTCTTCCTTGTATCTAGCACTATGGGATGCTCATTTTTGCCCTGCGTATCATGATTCTTTCCTCTGACTTGTGGGGTGTCTTGGGAAGATATATCCTTGAAAAGGATCTTATGAACTCCTCTCTAGTACAATTTTATTCAGATATCCTTGAAGTTAAAAAGTTCTCAGTGATGTATTATGCCTAGAATTCATTGAGCTTTAAACATATTTTAAAGTCTCTCTCTCTCTAAATATATATCCTCTTCTTTCTTCTGTCCATGTTCTTGTAATTTCTAGTCATTTATTCTAGTTTTGTCCTAAGTAGTACAATTAATATCATCTCCTTTCTTTTGAAATACGTAAGACCATTCTCATGAGTTTCCTCTTTTTTTCTAGTTAACATGGAATTTGCCACGTTTAATACACTTAATAGCACTAATAATGATCTTTCTTGAATTTGTTAACTGGGTACCTGTACTTCTTTGAAGCACAGAATGATACCTTTTTTGCTTTTCTTTTTTTGGTTTTTTGAAATAGGGCCTCACAAGGCAGTGCTATCCTTAAATCATTATGTAACCCAGGCTGGTCTTGACCTTACAGAGATCTCCTTCCTCAGCCTTGTGGTGGTGGGGTCATAAGCATGCACCATACCCATCTACCTTTTTTACTCTGCTTCACTGCCAAAAGCAATGTCTTATCCTTATGTTTTTAAAAAGTATTTGATTCTGTATATTTGTATATATGCAATTGAGTTTGTATTGCCTAAGACCAATAGTACATTTAGCACTGGGGGCTGTATACAAAATTGGCTCTGGATTTAAAATTTTATTTATTTGATCAATAAACAAAAATACTTTGGAGTTTATATTGAAATAAAATAAAATTCCACATGGAAAAGCATCACTAACTATTCCATTACTATTTTTTATTTTTTTAAAAATTTTTATCTTGGCCTTGTATATAATTTTTTCATAGATGCCACATAGTGTACAAAGGTAAGATGAGTTAATCTGAAGGTAGGCAGAAACTTTTGTTATTCCTCAAACCACTTGTTACCTTTATCTCATCTCTTTGGCTTGTGTGACTATAATTTGGACATGTTTTCCAAATCATGAGGACAGCCTCAAAAAGTTCCTGGCAGAATGGAAAGAAGTGCCGAATGTATAGCATAATGGTTCTGTTTACAGCTTTCTACTGGCAGTTTGTTTACTTTGTGTGGAAAGAGAGGCACAGCTGTTAACCTTTCAGGTGAACAAGACAACATGGCAGGAAACTCTAGAGCTGCCTCTAGTGAGAGGGGGTGAGAGGCAGTCGAGGTGCCAAAGCAGTAGAGTCATTCTTTTCTGTAGACTTCTAAAGTTCTGTTTCCATGACCATATTAGTGAAACACCTGGTTTTGGTAACTATGTAGGAAATGATTTGATATTTTAAACTTCTTCCTCTTGTTTTCTGAATTTCCTTAAATTTCTTTAAATGTTGTCCAAGATACCCCTCCTATATAGTCTTTCTAGGAAATTATTTATATGTGGTATGTTTTAATAAAATAGGTTTTATAAGTGTAGCCTAAGGGACAATAGTACAAGTTTAAAGTCAAGCAGACCTGAATTCAAATTCAGGTTCTTCTACTTGGGGGTTCTTTGGTTAAAATTTTTATTTTGAAATAATTGTAGGAGATGGCAAAAATAAATCAGACTCCTATGTACCCTTCATCTTCACCTATGGAAGCTTCCTACAATGGTGGCAACATGTAAGCTAATACCAAGGAAATTAATATTTATATAATACTATTTTCTAGACAGTAGACTTTACCCACATAGTTATGTAAAATGTCACCATTTTAACCTGCATTTGTGAGTATACATGTATGTGTGTAGTTCTATGCAGTTTTAGAGCATATATAGATTCATGTAACCACACTATAATCCTGATACAGAACTGTTGTATTAGCATGAACGAACCTCCTCATGCTAGCCTGTCATTTTAAGAAGTACAATATAATGCTATAATGAAAATGAGAGTACAGATAGCCCTTTGAAATACTGATTTAAATTCCTTTGGATATATAGCCCAGAAGTGACATTATTGGATCATATGACAGTTCTATTTTTATTTATTTATTATTTTTTGAGGAATCCTCTGTATAATTTTCTACAATGGCTACACTAATTCACATTTCTACCAACAAGGTATTAAGTGTTCCCTTTTCTCTGCATCTTTGCTAATAGTTACCTTTTTCTTTTTAATAAATGCTATTTTAACAGCTATAAAGTGACATCTCATTGTCGTTTTAACTTGCATTTCCCTTTTGATTAGTGATACTGAACACATAATTATGTACCCATTGGCTATATGTATTTCTTCTTTTGAGAAATTTCTATTCAAGTCCTCTGCCCATTTTAAAATATTTTTTTCTTATTCTTAATTTGTTCCATATTTATTTTGGACATTAACCCTTTCAATTATTTTCTCCTATTATCTGGGTTACCTTTTCACTTTGTTAAATGTTTCCTTTGGTTTTGTTGGACAAAAAAGTTGAAATCATAGAATTAAAGTGATGGTTACCAGAGGCATTGAGGAGGAAAGGAATCAAAAGTTGATCATCAAAGGTACAAAGTTTTAGATAGATAAGATAATAAATTTTGAGATCTGATACACAAGTTGACTAGAGTCAATAGTAATATATATTTCAAAATAGAAGAGTAATTTTTTTCTTTTCTTTTTCTTTTTTTTTTTATTACTGGGGATTAAACTCGGGTCCTTGCGCTTGCAAGGCAGGCCACCCGACCACTGAGCTAAATCCTGCCCTAGAAGAGTTAATTTTAAATGCAGTGACTCACTACAAAATGATAAGTAAAGTAATGGATGTGTTATTTTGCATAATTTAATCAATTCTCATTGTAGATATATACTACATGTTCTACATGAATATACACAATTATGATGTATCATTATAAATATTCTTTTTTTTTCATGGTACTGGGGATTGAACTTGGGCCCTTGCACTTGTGAGGCAGGCGCTGGAATCACTGAGCTAAATCCCCACCCAGTTATAAATATTCTTAATAAAATGTAGCCTACACAAATGGTATCATGTAGCAGGTTACTCTTTGAAATTGCCTTTTTAAAAACTAAAAATAATTCCCCTGAGGGCCATTATATTTTTATATGTATCAATAATAGTTCATTTCTTTTTTGCTTAGTATTAGTCCATTGCATAGATGTATCAGAGATTGTTCAACAGTTCACCCACTGGAGGACATTTGTTTGGGCTCAGTATTTTGTTATTAACACTAAAGTTGCTGTGACCATTCGTGTATAGGTCTTTATATGACCATAACTTTTTATTTCTCTGGGATAAACACCCACAAATGTGATTGCTAGGTCATATGATAAGTGCATATGAATCTGCTAAGCTATTTTCCATAGTGGCTATACTATTTTGTATTTCTACCAGCAATGTATGAGAGATCCAGTGTCTCTACATCTTTGCCAGCATTTGTTGTTATAATTATTTTCTGTTTTAGTCAGTTGGGTAGATACACAATGATGTCTCATCATGATTTTAATTTGTAATTCTGGAAGAGTTATTGATGCTAAGTATTTTTCCATGTACTTATTTGCCATATGTATCTCTTCTTTGGTGAAATATCTGTTTTTTTTTTCTATTTTGTAACAGGTCTAAGAACCATTTGAAAATCTTGGTGGAGTTTTAGTATTCTTATTTGTTAAAATTTTGCCCTAAATTATATCTAACATATGTTAAAATATGGTATAACAACAGTAAACATAATTCCTTGAGAACTGAATGACAGTTGGATAGTTGACATAATGGTATGTCTCCCTTATTCTCTAACTCCCTTACTTTTTCTGGACTTTGTACAAGGTGCTCTCTCTACCTGAATTATTAATTTTCTGAAGTATTTCTTTTCCTAACAATTTCTGCTTGAATTATTTAGCATGTAAGATCAGTTTTC